GCTATGATTGTTGAGCCAGTATTTTACATTACTATTAACCAAATCCCACAGTTTACGTTAGGGTTCATTCTTAGCATCTTATCTTTTATGGGTTTCAACAAATGGGTGACGCCATGTGTCCTCCATTGCAGTGTCATAAGGGACACTTCCACTGCTCTAAAAATTCTCTAGGCTCTGCCCATTCACCCTTCTCCACCCTCAGCATCCCTGGCAACCACTGGTCTTTTTACTGTCTCCCAGCTTTTGCCTTTTCCAGAAGGTTACATAGTTGGAATCATACACTATGTAGCCTATTCAGACTGGCTTTGTTCACTTGGCAATATCCATTTAAAGTTCCCCCATGCCTTTTTTCATTGTATAATATTCCATTGTATTGATGGACGCAGCTTATTTACCCATTCGCCTACTGAGAAACATTTTCGTAGCTTCCACATTTTGACAATCATGAATAAATCTGCTGTAAACGTGTGTGCAGGTTGTCGGGTGCACATACATATTCAACACATTTGGGAGGGTGATTGCTGGGTCGTGTAGTAAAAGTATGTTTAGTTTTGTAAGAAACTGACGGCCGGGCGCGGGGGCTCAAGCCTGTAATCCCAGCACTTTGGGAGGCCAAGGCGGGTGGATCACCAGGTCAAGAGAACGAGACCATCCTGGTCAACATGGTGAAAACCCGTCTCTACTAAAAATACAAAAAATTAGCTGGGCATGGTGGCGTGTGCCTGTAATCCCAGCTACTCAGGAGGCTGAGGCAGGAGAATTGCCTGAACCCAGGAGGCGGAGGTTGCCGTGAGCTGAGATAGCGCCGTTGCACTCCAGCCTGGGTAACAAGCGCGAAACTCCGTCTCAAAAAAAAAAAAAAAAAAAGAAAAAAGAAACTGCCACACTGTCTCCCAAAGTGGCTGCACCATTTTGCATTCCCACCAGCAATAAATGAGAGTTTCTATTATTTATACTTAATTTTTTTTTTTTTGAGAAGGAGTCTTGCCCTGTCGCTCAGGCTAGAGTGCAATGGCATGATCTCCGCTCACTGCAATTCCCCTTCCCGGGTTCAAGCAAGTCTCCAGAGTAGCTGGGATTACAGGCACCCGCCATCATGCATGGCTAATTTTTGTAGAGAAGGGGTTTCACCATGTTGGCCAGGCTGATCTTGAACTCCTGACCTCAGGTGATCCACCCACCTTGGCCTCCCAAAGTGCTGGGATTAGAGGCGTGAGCCACTACACCCAGCCCTATATTTACTTTTTTCTTGTAAAATTAATAAGGGCTTCTTATAAAAATTCAAGCTATATATGAAGAATCCCATCCCACCCACAACCTTTCCCTCTGATCTAATTCCACAGAGAAAAAAATTACAGAGAAATTATGACATTCATTCTTTACTTATTAGATTTGATATCAAATTTTTAATAACTTCTTTTACAATACATTGACCTGAGAACCTTTAACTGTCTTTATTCCTTCCAAATTTGTGTGTATTTTACTTTTAAAAATTTATTTTAAAAATTCACGCACAGTAAAATTTATACCTCTTAATGTATAGTTCTAAGAGTTTTGACAAACCCTCCTTCAACCCTTAACCCCTGGAAACCACTCATTTCTTTTCCATCTCAATATATTTACCTTGTTTAGAACACCATAGAGATGGAATCACACAATACATGGCTTTTTAAGTCTAGGTTTTTTTCACCCAGCATAAGGCCTCTGATATTCATCCATGCTGTTATGCGCATCAAGAGTTTGTTATGCGCATCAAGAGTTTGTTCTGCTTTATTGCTGAGTAGTTTCTTCTCACTTTAGAAAACTAAAAGAGGCTTGGATTCTTTTCATTTTTGGTGATGATAAAGCTGCTGACACACAACACACACACACACACACACACACATATTTTTTTGAGATGGAGTTTTGCTCTTGTCCCCCAGGCTGGAGTACAATAGTGCAATCTCAGCTCGCTGCAATTTCCACCTACCAGGATCAAGCAATTCTCCTGCCTCAGTCTCCCAAGTAGCTGGGACTACAGGAGCCCACCACCACACCTGGCTAATTTTTGTATTTTATTAGAGACAGGGTTTCACCATGTTGACCAGGATGGTGTCAAACTCCTGACCTCAGGTGATCCACCCGTCTCAGCCTCCCAAATTGCTGGGATTACACGTGTGAGCCACCACACCCGGCCCATATATGGTTTTTATGTGAACATCAGTTTTCATTTATTTTAGGTAGATACCTAGGAGTGGCTTAGTTGGATCACGTAAGTGTATGTTTAACTTGATAAGCAATTCCCAAACCACTTTTCAGAATAACTCAACTTTTCTCCCTCTCTCTCTTCTTTCTTCCTTCCTTTCTCCCTCCCCTCCCCTCCCCTCCCCTCCCCTTCCCTCCCCTCCCCTCCCCTCTCTTTCTTAGATGGAGATTCTGTCTTCTCTCCTAGGCTGGAGTGCAGTGGTGCAATCTCGGCTCACTGCAACCTCCACCTCCCAGGTTCAAGCAATTCTCCTGCCTCAGCCTACCGAGTAGCTGGGATTACAGGTGCCTGCCACCATGCTTGGCTAATTTTTGTAATTTTTTTAGTAGAGACCGGGTTTCACCATGTTGATCAGGCTGGTCTTGAACTCCCGATCTCAGGTGATCCACCTGCTTTGGCTCCCAAAATGCTGGGATTACAGGCGTGAGCCACCATGCCCAGCCACGTATTGTTTGTTTTCTTACTGAGTTTTGAATACAAATACTTTGTCAGCATATGATATGCAAATATTTTCTCTCCGGCAATTGTCTTTTCATTCTTTCTCTTTGTCTTTTTATTCTTTTAACAGCATTTCTTACAGAGCAAGAGTTATTACATTTTGATAAAATCCAATTCATTAATATTTTCCCTTCCGGATCATGTTTTTGGTATTGTGTCTAACACATTGTCATCAAGATTTTCTTCTTTTTTTTTACTAAAAGTTTTATAGTTTTCTGTTTTACATGTAGGTCTGTGATCCATTTTGAGTTGACTTTTGTTTAAAGTATGAGATGAAGACCCAGGTTAATTTTTCTTTTTTTTTTTTCTTTTTAAGCATATGGACATCTAATTGTTTCAGTATCATGTGTTGAAAAGGCTAGCCTTTGTACATTCTCAAAAATCAATCAACCATACTGTGTGGGCCATTTTCTGCACTCTCTATTCTGTTTCAGTGATGTATATATTTATCTTTTCATCAATACTATACTCTCTGGATTACTGTATTTTTTATAATAAATCTTGAAATGACATAGTGTGAGTCCTCTAACTTTGTTTTTCTTTTCAAAATGACTTTGGGTACTCAAATTTCTTTGCCTTTCCATATAATTTTCAGATCAGCTTGTTGATATCTTTAAAATATTCCACTAGTTTTTTGACTGGGATTGTGCTGACTTTATAGACCAATTTGGAAAGAACTGTCATCTTGGCAATACTGAATCTTTCAGTCTATAAACACAGTATATCTTTTCATTCAATTAGGTCTTCTTTGATTTCTTTCATCAGTGTTTTAAAGTTTTCAGTAAACAGATCCTGTACATATTTTAGATTTGTAAATGGGGCTGCTTTTAAATTTTTTCTAATTTTTCATTGCTGGTTTATAGAAATGTAGTTGATTTTTATAGATTACCTTTATACCTTGTGACATTGCTGAAATTGATTTTCAAAAGTTGAATCAGTCTAAAATTCTCAGTATAAACCTCATCTGGTCATGCTGTACTATCCTTTTAATACGTTTCTGAATACTATTTGTTAGTATTTTCTTGAGAATTTTTAACTGTAGATTTATGTGAGATATTGTTCTGTAGTTTTCCTTGTAATTCATAGAAATTTGACTTGGTATTATGGTACTGTTAGTCTCATATAATCTGTTGAGAAGTCTTTTTACCTTTTATATTTTTTGGAAGAGACTATTGAATTCGTTCTTCTTCTTTCACATTTTGCTAGAATTTAACATTGAAGTCATCTGGGCCTGGAGTTTTTTGTTTTTATTTCTCAAAAAGTTTTAAAATACAAATTCCACTTAAAAAAAAAATATATATATATATATATAGGACTATCCAGATTTTCTGTTTCTTCTCGAGAAAATTTTGATGGTTTTTCTTATCAAGAATTTTGTCCATTTTATTTAAGTTGCTGAATTCATTGGCATAAACTTGGTCATATTAGTCCTTATACTTCTAATATCTGTAGAATCTCTAGTGATAGCCTTTCTTTCATTCCTGTTATTGATAATTCTCCCCTCTTCCTTCTTTTCCCTTATCAGTCCTTCTTGAGTTTTATTCATTTTATTGATCATTTCAAAGAATCTCTTTTGGTTCCATGACTTTCTCTATTGTTTGGTTGTTTTCCATTTCATTGATAGATGCTTTTTACTTTATTATCACTTTTAGTTTGTTTGGGTTTATTATGATCTCTTTTGAAACTGTCTTAAGGCAGAAGCTTACACTATTGATTTGAGACCTTTTGAAGTGAAAGACTTCACACATGCATATTTTCTGACTTTTCTCTCTAAGTACAGAAGTAACTGCAGTGACCATTTAACAACCTAGCATGTCAATAGCTGTGCTAGTTACTGTAAATGTTCATTTTCCCAAAAACCTTTAAGTGTTTGCTCTCTGTGATATTTCAGTAATATTCAATTAATGTATTTATTTCCCATGACAATACTGATAGGTTGTAGAAACAGAGGCTCACTAGCAACCTGCATGTGTTTACCCAGTGGAGAGACTGAGATTTGAACCTAATAACAACTGATAATTTTTTTCCTTGCCAGAGCATTGGCTTGTTCTACACATTTGCTGAACACCTAGTCTGTGCCAGTGCTGTGCTTGGTCTCTGCGGTACGTGGTGAATGAGGGCAGCCTGATTCCTGCCCTCTGGAGCTCAGTCTACAGAAGGAGACAGATGTAAACACATAGTTAGGATAACAGTTATTTGATTAGGGCATCATCAAGTAAATGGTTCAGCAGCATTTTCACAACTCTCTGCTTCCTAGGTTTATTTTGATGTTGTGGATCGCTCAACAGGAAAAATTGTGGATAAATCCTTAATTTTCAACATTAGGATCAGTGATGTGAATGATCATGCACCCCAGTTTCCAGAGAAGGAATTTAACATCACTGTGCAAGAAAACCAATCTGCAGGTGTGTGCGGTTGGGAGGCTGCCGGGCTTCCTTCTGTCTCTGCTCTGTTTCCTTTCCTTAATATTGATGAGGAGCTTGATCCTAGTTGTCTTCAGGGAGAGTTTTTACCATTCACATCTCAAAGTTCACAGGCCCCGGATCTGAGCAAAATGTTTTGAGGTCTGTAAGCCTCATTTTGTATTGGTAATAAAATGATGTTAAATTGCATCAGTGGGAAGAGCTGATATGTAAATGGCATTCTAAAAATAAAGCCATATGCAGTGAGGGAAAAAGAGCTGGGTCATGAGCTTCTGCATAGCTCTGCAAATTTTTTGTCTGAAAAATGGCAACACGATCACATCTAAAGTCTCTGAGTTACATACAGATACTGTGCATTTTTAAACCCAACCTACTCTTACTAGAATGTGGATCTATTTTTAATAACAAAAACCATTTTTTGGTATAATCATCTCTCCAAAAAATTCCAAGAAATGAAAAGACTGAAAAAGAAAGCATCTTTAATACTACCCATGAGAGATAAGTACCATTAATGTTTTAGTTTGTATTCTTTCAGCATTTTCTTTGCATTTTCTGTGTGTATATACACACACTGTATGTTAAACTTACATATATGTATAATATAATTACAAATGAATATTTTTTGTATTTGTAAATTATATGAAAAAATTTTATAATTAAAAATGCATATTTTTGTATTTGTATTTGTATATACATACATTTTTGATGTGCATATATTTTTAATATTTGTATATACATGCATTTTTCATCTTTATCATAGTATACATTGTATATGTGTATATAGTAAATATTTATATATGTACACTTATTCTGTGTGCTTTTTAACATGCGCATATTTATAAATTTCCTCTCTAAAGATGCAATTTTAGTGCTTGTAATTTGATATTTTTCTAAAATACCCTTTGTGTAATATTTTATGGATGTGCTTTAAAGTATTTGACCAATCTCTTATTGTTGAAAATTTATGTGTTTTTGCCACTTTCTGTTATTTTTATAAAATATATTTCCGTGACAAAATTTAAGCTATATCTATTTCCCAATGAAGCATTATTTACTTAGCATGAATTCAGAGACATAGACTTGCTGGTTCTATATCTCTGTGTCTACGTACTGCACATACAATGTAAGGGTCTTCATTTGCTCACCTGCCTGCAATCCATGAAGGTACTTGGTGTGTTTCTGGTCTCGGATAACATGTGCTTGAACATTTTGATATGTTTCTTGGCCACTTCCATGTTCTATCAGTGGCTTTTTCCTTTCTTTTCTTTATTTTTCTGTTGGTGCGTTTGTCATTTTTCTTATTTTAACCTCAGCAGTCTATATTAAGAATATCTGCCTGCCATGTGTGTTTCAAATATATTTTCCTGCTTCATCGTTTTCTTTTATATTTTGTTTATAGTTTTTTGCCAGACATTAAAAAATGTAATCTGATCTACCAATTTTGTCCTGTAAGTCTTCTGTGTTGGCAGTCATGATCTTATAGCTAATTAAAATTCATCCTTATCTTTTCTAGTATGTTCATAGTTTATTTTATACTTAAACATTTCATTCATCTTCGTATATGCCCCAATGCCATTTAGCAAATAATTCATCCTCTTACTGGTTTGATGGGCTACTTTCTCTGTAACAATTTTAAAAAATTCTTTCTAGGTCAACCTATTTTTCAGATGTTAGCAGTTGATTTGGATGAAGAAAACACTCCAAATTCTCAAGTCCTTTACTTCCTTGTTTCTCAAACACCATTACTAAAAGAAAGTGGTTTCTGGGTTGATCATGTTAGCAGAGAAATATAACTCTCTGGATGCTTAGATTATGAGGTTATGTGGATTTTACTATTTTTTAAAATGAAATGTGTGGCCCATCCTCGAGCCCCAGGCTTAGATTCTACATTTGTAGTGGGGAACCCTCTGTGACTAGATTTGCTATTGAAATTGGTAAAACAGAATATTTCTTTATTAATATTTTCCTTTCCTATATTCGAGGGGCTTAACTTTCCTTTTCCTTCCCATATAGACTGCTCCTCAGTTTACACCGCTAATCAGAGCCAGGGACTGTGGAGAACCGTCACTGTCATCCATGGCCACCGTTCATGTGGGCGTGCAGGAAGTCAACAACCACAGGCCCGCATTTACCCAAGAGAACATGAGCCACCTGGGCTGCCCCGATGTCTAAGCCCCAACACACGTAGCCCTTGGGTCCTAGGCTCAGTTTTCCTCAGGGTAGCGGGGAGGCTGTTAGACTGTTATCGTATTGCTATAAAGAAATACCTGAGACTGAGTAATTTATAAAGAAAAGAAGTTTAATTGGCTCATGGTTCTGCAGGCTATACAGGAAGCATGGTGCTGGCAAGGGCTCAGCTTCTAGGGAGGCCTCAGGAAGTCTGTGATCATGGCGGAAGAAGAAGGGGGAGCAGGCATATCACTTGGTGACAGCAGGAGCAAGTAACACATGGTGGGTGGGAGAATGAGGAACAAGAGAGATAAGAGGTGCCGCACACTTTTAAATGGCCAGATCTCATATGAACTCAGGACAAGAGCTCCCTTATCACCAAGGGGATGGCTGGAGCTATTCATGAGGGATCTGCCCCCATGATCCAGACACTTCCCACCAGGACCCACCTCCAACATTGGGGATCACATTTCAACATGAGATTTGGGCAGGGACAAATATTCAAACTATATCAGGTGGTCACCCAAGATATGTGCAGTTCTCAAAAGTGACTTACGCTAGAATCAAGAAGCCAAATCATAGTGACATACAAGCACTTCATAGTGGTCACATGAGCTGACATGTTTGACGGTTCCCATTTCTTTTCTGGGACACACTCGAGCTCTTTTGTGCTTTTTTCTTCTTAGTAGCGTGCTACTTAATCACTTAGTTTCACTTATTGTATGAATCCCTGTATACACAAGCACGCACGCGTGCACACACACACACATACACACTCAGCTCTCAGCTCCCCAAAGATGGAATTGTTGCCGTCTCGCTCATGGCATCTGAAGTGGAATGTTCCACACAGTAGATGTTGTTGAATAAATGATGCGAACAATGATTTTTAAAAGGTGTCGTTTAATATAAAAAGCAAACCCTATAAACCAAAGTGAAATGTTTGCAAACCAAAGTGCCAGAAGTATATAATAACTACAAAATAATATTATGTTTGAACCTCTTTTCAAAATCTTTTCCTGGCTTGGTAAAAAGCCATGCTCTCACAAATACAGCTAGAAAAAAATACAGCCTGTTGCTTTGAAGAGCTCGTCTAGAAACATTGTCTCCAAAAATATTGAATGACAAGTTATTTTGAAGATCTATGTGTGTTAGAAAAATGATCCCCTTAATCCAAATAAACCACAGTGTCCTATTTCAGGGGAAGAGCTAGGGCTTTTGGAGAGCATAAACTGGGATTGCATATTATCATTTGCAAAATTCTTAGAAAAAAATAGTGCATTGAGTTAGGTTTAAGAGTACTTTAAAATTATTCAGCAAGTCACAGGTAGGAGGGGGCAGATATTCTAAGGATGCACCTTCTGCTGTAACAGGTAGAGTTTCAGATCCTTTAGGTCAAGTTCAGCCACATGAGGAATATCCAAGGTGCTGTGCTGAGGAGCTACGTTTTCTTTCTCCTTGTCTCTCTGGCTCTCTCCGCATCTCTCTCCCCTTCCTCTCTGCTTTCCTTTTCAATTGTGTTTCTCTCCATGATATGGACATGATGATTGCCTCTTTCAGTATGAGATTCAGATTCCTGAAGGCCGATTCAGCCAGGGCGTGCTGCGTCTCCTGGTTCAAGATCGAGATTTTCCATTTACATCAGCTTGGAGGGTAAAGTTCAACATCTTGCATGGCAACGAAAAGGGACATTTTGACATTTCGACTGACCCTGAGACCAACGAAGGGATATTAAATGTTATCAAGGTAACACCATGCCAGTGACATATGAACCAGGTGGTGGCAGACACTGAGGCCTCTTCTGTAGGATCGCTCATAATGAACTAGGAGCTAACACCCATGGATGCTGTGTGCTGAGCCCATTACGTACCATGTATCACCTGGCAAGGAAGGCAGGGTCTCAGTGCCACTACTGTGTGTAGGCTGAGCACTCCTCCTCCCAAAAGAATATCAATAATAAAACTTTTTTGATATGACTGAATACTTCACCATTTAATTTTTTGTTGTTTTAGGCAAAATATAATAGATTTACATTGGCCTTAGAATGACTATTCCTTTTCAGATGTGATTTAAAAAATGAAAACATTTTATTCAACCTCAAACATTCTTTCTTTTTGTCTGAGTTGTCAAAGTTTAAGACTTTTAAAGTTTAAAAGAAATGGGGGTGCTTTTGTGTGGCCCCTAAGAGTATGGAGAGCCTCTGGTACTGGGCCTAGTGGAGAAGCTGGCCTGGAAGAAAGTATTAATGTTACCATCTCACTCTACTGATTAGGAAACCAAAGCCCAGAGGGGTTAGGTCTTTTACACAAAGCCACACAGCTCCAGAGTGGTGGAGTGGAGGATCCCCCTGGGGCAGTCTGACCCCAGTACCTCTAGTCTTCGTTGCTCACAGCCAGACCTAGAGTGACCAGGGCTTCTAGTGCAGTGCAGTGCAGGTGAGTCACCTGGGGACAAGGCAGACCTGAGCCAGTGGGTCTGGGGCAGGGCCTGAGATTCTGCTACTCACTTAACCAGGGGATGCCAATGGCCTACAGACCGTGCTGTGAATAACGAGACTTGACAGATGTTTCACCAGATGCTGGGGTTGAATTTCAAAATACTCCCAGCCTTTCAGTCCTTTTAAGTCAACTGGCCACTTTGTACCCGAATGACTGTGATCATTAATATCCATATTTCCCTAAGCTCCCTGATTTTTTTTTTTGCAGCATGATTGTCTCATTAATGTTTCATTAGGCGATAGTTTTTGTTGCATTTTTCATTACTCTCTGAAGGATGGTGGCTCTTTTCAACCAGAAGAGGAGGAGGGAAAAATAAAAGAGAAAAGAACTCTGTAAATGATTTGAAAATGAGCTGAAGACTGTCTTTTTGATCATTATCAAAGACAATGTAAATAATAAATGAAGTGCAAAAGCCACAGGCTCTGAGTTCTCCATGATGACTGGGTGCTGGGCTTCCTCTGGCTAGAGGGGCAGCAGGTGCTAATCAAATTTTTTCTCTGGGGTTCCAGCCTTTGGATTATGAGACTCGCCCAGTGCAAAGCCTCATCATTGCTGTGGAGAATGAGGAGCAGCATTTTTTTCTGCAAGAGGGGAAAGCTTCAGCTGCCAAAGAAGTCCACAGCAAGTGCCACTGTGGGTGTGCAGATGACAGATGCCAACGACCCACCAGCCTTTCACCCCCAGAGCTTCATTGTCAGTAAAGAGGAGGGCGCTGGGCCTGGGACCCTGTTGGGAACTTCTAATGCTATGGATCCAGACAGCCAGATAAGGTGAGAAGAGAGGGCCAGGAAGGGCGGTTGTTTGGGTGGAAATAGCCACATAACCGAGAGAGCTCCTTGGGCGTGTTCACAAGGCTGCCTCAGTCTCCATGATGAAAATACAAGAAGCCACAGCACATGACCACTGGCCTGGGTTAAATGTCATCTTCCATTCACAGCTTTTTCTGACCCCACCAGGAGAACTCACTTGTTGGCTTTCCTTTGCATTTTCCAAGTTTCTTTTTGTGTTCTTTCCTTTGTGTTAGAATAATTTATTATATTTTTCTATCTCCCCTCTCTGTACTAGAAGTTATAAACCAGTACCTCTCTTGCTTCTGGGCAAGAAAAGTGAGTTGGTTTTTTTTTAGGAAGTTATGGAAAATTTACCATTTTATCCATTTTGAAGGATACAGGTCAGAGGCATTAAGTATATTAATAGTGTTGTGCAGCCATCTTTCCCATCCATCGCCAGAACTCTTTTTATCTGGCAAAATAGGAGCTCTGTCCCCATTCACCACTCATTCCTTATTCCCCCTTCTCCAGCCCCTGGCCCCCACCATTTGACTTTTTGTCTCTCTGAATTCGACGACTCCAGATAATTCACGAAGTAGATTCATACAACATTTGTCTTTATGTAACTGGCTTATTTCACTATGTATAATGTCCTCAACGTCCATGCACGTTTAGTGTATATCAGAATTTCCTTCCTTCTTTTTTGATGCTGAATATGCATATGTGGTATTGACACAGTTTTGTTTATCCACTTATCCATTGATGGGCACTTGTGTTGCATATGGCCTGAATCTCCTGATGTTCTCGAAGAAATGAAAGGACTTGGCATTTTTGGGTCTGTGTTCCATGAGACCATAATCATGGGGACAGAGTGGGGTCACGCATCATGATGCCCCCTCCCTCTCTGGGCTGAGCTCAGCAGTCAGCCCCAGGCCCCATTCTGCTGGCTCCACTCATTTCTGGTGCTTGCTTGCCCCTGTCCACACTCTGGTGTGCGATTCCTCCCCTTGCAGCAAGCAATACTTCTCAGTTTCTCTGTTGGGAAAGGCTAGGTTTTTAAAATTTTTTACAATTAATGATGGTGTGGTAAGTTTGCAAAATCTAATGAAATTGAATTAATAGAAAAATTGTCATATGCTAGGGGGACACAGCAGTGCTGACAATTCTAAGAGCTTCTCAACACTTGCTCTTCATTATTGCAGTTATCTCGTTGTAAGCAGCTAACCAAGAGTTCGCAGACCCCTTCTGGTGCACAGTGGTGCGTCTTGAGTTAGCGTGGCTCTTAAGAGGTGGCTGTCAAACTATAGTATGTATCAGTCTCTGGGGGAACTTGTTAAAATGCAGATTGCTGGGCCCCACCACTAGAATTTTATTTATTTATTTATTTGTTTGTTTGAGGCGGTGTCTCTCTCTGTCACCCAGGCTGGAGTGCAGTGTCAAAGTCTCAACTCACTCACTGCAACCTCTACCTCCCAGGTTCACGTTCACTGCAACCTTCACCTCCCAGATTCTCCTGCCTCAGCCTCCTGAGTAGCTGGGACTACAGGCACATGCTATCACATCTGGCTAATTTTTGTATTTTTAGTACAGACAGGGTTTCGCCATGTTGGCCAGACTGGTTTCTAACCCACCCCTAGAATTTGATTGAAGAGGTCTGGGGCCAGAACTGAGATTTGCATTTCTAAGAAGCTCCCGGGCCAGGCGGGGTGGCTCACACCTGTAATCCCAGCACTCTGGGAGGCCGAGGCGGGTGGATCACGAGGTGAAGAGACTGAGACCATCCTGGTCAACATGGTGAAACCCCGTCTCTACTAAAAATACAAAAAATTAGCTGGGCACAGAACTCCGTCTCAAGAAAAAAAAAAAAAAAAAAAAAAGAAGCTCCCAAGGAAGCCAGTGATGCTGGCTGGGCTCCCTTTCTTTTTTTTTTTTTATTTAATTAATTAATTTTTTTATTGCATTTTAGGTTTTGGGGTACATGTGAAGAACATGCAAGATTGTTGCATAGGTACCCACATGGCAGTGTGATTTGCTGCCCTCCTCCCCATCACCTGCATATTTCAACACCACTGATATAGCCTTTTCTTATTTTATTTTATTTTTTCAAATTATAGTTTAAGTTCTGGGGTACATGTGCAGATCTTGCAGGATTGTTTCATAGGTACACACATGCCATGGTGGTTTGCTGCCTCCATCCCCCCGTCATCTACATCCGGCATTTCTCCCAGTGTTATCCCTCCCCAACCTCCCCACCCACCCTGCTGTCCCTCCCCTAGCCCTCCATCCCCCAACAGACCCTAGTGTGTGATGTTCTCCTCCCTGAGTCATGTGTTCTCATTGTTCAACACCCACCTATGAGTGAGAACATGTGGTGTTTGGTTTCCTGTTCTTGTGTCAGTTTGCTGAAAATGATGGTTTCCAGATTCATCTATATTCCTACAAAGGACATGAACTCATCCTTTTTTAAGGCTGCATAGTATTCCATGGTGTATATGTGCCACATTTTCTTTATCCAGTCTATCACTGATGGGTATCTGGGTTGGTTCCAGGTCTTTGCTATTGTAAACAGTGCTGCAGTGGACATATGTATGCATGTGTCTTTATAATAGAATGATTTATAATCTTTGGCCATATACCCAGTAATGAGATTGCTGGGTCAAATGGTATTTCTATTTCTAGATCCTTGAGGAATTGCCACACTGTCTTCCACAATGGTCGAACTAATTTACACTCCCACCAACAGTGTAGAAGTGTTTCTATTTTTCCACATCCTCTCCAGCATCTATTGTCTCCATATTTTTTAATGATCACCATTCTAACTGGTGTGAGATGGTATCTCAATGTGGTTTTGATTTGCATTTCTCTAATAACCAGTGGTGTTGGGCATTTTATCATATGTTTGTTGGCCTCATAAATGTGTTCTTCTGAAAAGTGCCTGTTCATATCCTTTGCCCACTTTTGAATGGGCTTGTTTTTTTCTTGCAAATCTGCTTTAGTTCTTTGTAGATTCTGGATATTAGCCCTTTGTCAGATGGGTAGATTGCAAAATTTTTTTCCCATTCTGTTGGTTGCTGCTTCACTGTAGTGATTGTTTCTTTTGCTGTGCAGAAACTCTTAAATTTAATTAGATCCCATTTGTCTCTTTTGGTGTTTGTTGCTGTTGCTTTTGGTGTTTTAGTCATGGAGTTCTTGCCTATGCATATGTCCTGAATGGTATTGCCCAGGTTTTATTCTGGGGTGTTTATGGTGTTAGTTCTTATGTTTAAATCTTTAATCCATCTGGAGTAATTTTAGTGTAAGGTGTAAGGAAGGGGTCGAGTTTCTGCTTTCTGCACATGGCTAGCCAGTTTTCCCAACACCATTTATTAAAGAGGGAACCTTTTCCCCATTGCTTGTTTTTGTCAGGTTTGTCAAAGATCAGATGGCTGAAGATGTATGGTGTTACTTCCGAGGCCTCTGTTCTGTTCCATTGGTCTGTATCTCTGTTTTGGTACCAGTACGATGCTGTTTTGATTACAGCAGGCTTGTAGTATAGTTTGAAGTCAGACAGTGTGATGCTTCCAGCTTTGTTCCTTTTGCTTAGGATTGTCTTGGCTATGTGGGCTCTCTTTTGGTTAGGTATGAAGTTTAAAGTGGTTTTTTTCCAGTTCTGTGAAGAAGGTCAATGATAGCTTGATGGGAATAGCATTGAATCTATAAATTAGTTTGGGCAGTGTGGCCATTTTCATGATATTGATTTTTCCTAACCATGAGCATGGAATGTTTTTCTATCTGCTTGTGTCCTCTCTTATTTCCTTGAGCAGTGGTTTTCAGTTCTCCTTGAAGAGGTCCTTCACATCCCTTGTTAGTTGTATTCCTAGGTATTTTATTTTCTTTGTAGCAATTGTGAATGGGAGTTTGCTCTTGATTTAGCTCTCTCTCTGTTACTGGTGTATAGGAATGCTTGTGATTTTTGTACGTTTTTTATCCTGAGACTTTGCTGATGTTGCTTATCATCTTAAGGAGATTTTGGGCTGAGATGATGGGGTCTTCTAAGCATACAATTATGTAGTCTGCAAATAAAGACAATTTGACTTCCTTTTTTCCTAACTGAATACTTTTATTTCTTTTTCTTGCTTGATTGCTCTGACTAGAACTTCCTCTACTATATTGAATAGGAATGGTGAGTGAGGGCATCCTTGTCTAGTGCCAGTTTTCAAAGGGAATGCTTCCAATGTTGGCTGTGGGTTTGTCATAAATAGCTTTTATTATTTTGAGATATATTCCATTGATACCTAGTTTATTGAGAGTTTTTAGCATAAAATGCTGTTGAATTTTGTCAAAGGCCTTGTCTGCATCTATTGAGATGATTGTGTGGCTTTTGTCTTTGGTTCTGTTTATGTGATGGATTACATTTATAGATTTGCATATGTTGAACCAGCCTTGCATCCCTTGGGATATGCAAAAACTAAGCCTACTTGATCGTGATGGGTAAGCTTTTTGATGTGCTGTTGCATTCAGTTTGCCAGTATTTTATTGAAGATTTTTGCATCTATGTTCATCATGGATATTGGCCTGAAGTTTTCTTTTGTAGTTGTGTCTCTGCCAGGTTTTGGTATCAGGATGATATTGGTCTCATAAAATGAGTTAGGGAGGATTCCCTTTTTGTTTTGTTTGGAATAGCGGCAGAAGGAATGGTATCAGTTCCTCTTTGTACATCTGCTAGAATTCAGCTGTGAACTGTCTGGGTCTGGACTTTTTTTGTTGGTTGGCTATTAATTGCTACCTCAACTTCAGACCTTGTTATTGGTCTATTCAGGGATTCAGCTTCTTCCTGGTTTAGTCTTGGGAGAGTGTAAGTGTCCAGGAGTTTATCCATTTCTTCCAGATTTACTGGTTTATGTGCATAGAGTTGTTTGTAGTAATCTCTGATGGTAGTTTGTATTTCTGTGGAATCTGTGGTGATATCTCCTTTATCATTTTTTATTGCATCTATTTGGTTCTTCTCTCTTTTCTTTTTTATTAGTCTGGCTAGCAGTCTGCCTAGTTTGTTGATCTTTTCAAAAAACCAGCTCCTGGATTTATTGATTTTTTTGAAGAGTTTTTTGTGTCTCTATCTCCTTCAGTTCTGCTCTGATCTTAGTTATTTCTTGTCTTCTGCTAGCTTTTGAAATTTTTTGATCTTGCTCCTCTATCTCTTTCAATTTGGATGATAGGGTGTTGATTTTAAATCTTTTCTCACTTCTCATTTGGGCATTTATTGGTATAAATTTCCCCCTACACACTGTGTTAAATGTGTCCCAGAGATTCCGGCACACTGTGTCTTTGTTCTCATTGGTTTCAAGTATGTTTATTTTTGTCATTTCATTATTTATCCAGTCATCATTCAGGAGCAAGCTGTTCAGTTTCTATGTAGTTGTGTGGTTTTGAGGGATTTTCTTAATCCTGAGCTCTAATTTGATTGCACTGTTGTCTGAGAGACTGTCTGTTATGATTTCTGTATTTTTGCATTTGCTGATAAGTGATTTACTTCCAATTATGTGGTCAATGTTAGAGTAATTGCAATGTGGTGCTGAGAAGAATGTATATTCTGTGGATTTAGGGTGGAGGTGTCTGTTCATGTCTATTAGATCCACTTGGTCCAGATCTGAGTTCAAGTCCTGGATATCCTTGTTGATTTTCTGTCTTATTGATCTAATATTGACAGTGGAGTGTTAAAGTCTCCAACTATTATTATGTGGAGTCCACATAATAGGTTGTTAAGAACTTGCTTTATGTATCTGGGTGCTCCTGTGTTGGGCACATATATATTTAGAATAGTTAGCTCTTCTCGTTACATTGATCCTTTTACCATTATGTAATGCCCTTCTTTGTCTCTTTTGATCTTTGTTGGTCTAAAGACTGTTTTATCAGAGGCTAGGATTGCAACTTCTGCTTTTAGGCCATTTATATTTAATGTTAATATTGTTATGCATGCATTTGATTCTGCCATTTTGTTACTGGCTGGTTGTTTTGCCTGTTAGTTGATGCAGTTTCTTCATTGCATCTTTACCATTTGGTATGTTTTTGCAGTGGCTAGTACTGGTTGTTACTTTCCATGTTTAGTGCTTCTTTCAGGAGCTCTTGTAAGGCAGGTCTGGTAGTGATGAAATCTCTCAGCAATTGTTTGTCCATAAAGGATTTTATTTCTCCTTCACTTATGAAGGTTAATTTGGTTGGATATGAGATTCAGGGTTGAAAGTTTTTTTATTAAGGATGTTGAATATTGGCCCCACGTTCTTCTGGCCTGTAGGGTTTCTGCTGAGAGATCCGCTATGAGTCTGATGGGCTTCCCTTTGTGGGTGACCTGATCTTTCTCTCTGGCTACCCTTAACATTTTTTCCTTCATTTTGACCCTGGTGAATCTGATGATTATGTGCCTTGGCATTGCTCTTCTTGAGGAGTATCTTTGTGGTGTTCTTTGTATTTCCTGGATTTGAGTGTTGGCCTGCCTTGCTAGACTGGGGAAGTTCTGTTGGCTAATATCCTGAAGAGTGTTTTCCAGCTTGGATTCATTTTCCCTGTCACATTCAGGTACACTGATCAAGTGTAGATTAGGTCTTTTCACATAATACTATATTTCTTGGAGGCTTTGCTCACTTTTTTTCACTCTTTTTTATTAGAGAAAATTAGAGAGCCTTTTCTAATTCGTTGCTGTCTTCCTGTCTCTTGAGGGTGGTTGGCTCATATGTAGGTCTCAGTAAATGTTTAGACTGTGCTGAAATCAAGAACTTAAAGAGTCCATCGTTTTAGCCTCAATATGGTGTTGTCCAGGAGTAAGGGTGAGTCTTTTGTAATAGGGCGGAGGCATGATCTGGGTGTGGGGGCAACTTTGGTTTCCTCTGGTTCTGCTTCATCTGCATTAGCTGAGGGAGTTACCTTTTGATCGGCGATAATCCACAGATGAACTCTGAGTTTCTTTCTCTCATTTGTAAACATTGCAAAATCACAGTGCTTCTAAGGAACTTGTGGAACTTTCCCTAAGAGATGAAGCAGTGCACATAAAGCTTCAATCCCTTTAAAAACTGTGACCCACCCAACATGAGAGAGGGACTGTTGTTGATCCTTTGAAAAGCATTTGCCCAGATGACGAACGAAAAAAGTAAGGAGAAACTGCCCCTCTCCACACCTTTCTGGGACCTGCAGTTTTCATTGTTGTTATTGTGTGCCTGAGTCCAGGAGGTTCCTGCTGTGGGGCCCTCAACAAGTAGCTGTGATTGGCAACATGGTGAGGTTGCAAAGGATGCCATCCGGTGGCTGACAGCTCTCAGGAATCCTGGAGGGTTTGGCATGCCCACCCCTTAAAGTGGTGTCAGGCTCACATAGGTGAGGGGAGATATAGAAGACCACTTTGAGGAATAGGGTTACCCACCTGTGAACTGTGGGGGCTCTGTGGCAAAGCTGACACAACAGGGATAAAGTCCTGGGCTTCTGTTGCAAGAGCAGCTTGGTTTTTCACACTAAGCTAACATCACCTACAGGCAACTGAAGATGGTTCTTTTCCAGGGTGAAACATTTCTCCAGGGCAGACAAAACTGTTCAGTCCAACAAGGAGCGGGGATGCTTGGTCTCCTGGTGACTATCAATTCCACAGACTTAGGAGCGTCTTTAGGCTGTCCTCCCTGTGCCCCCATTCCATTCATGAATTAAACATTCTCATAGTTTAATTGCTCTTAGAATTTCTCAAATTACTTGTGATAGAAACAGTGTTTCTATGACATATTTTGGTGTTTTGAAGTAATTTTTTACATCTTTTGATGTACCTTTTTAATTTTAAAAGTTGCTGTCTGTTTTCCTTCTGCAAGATATAAACTGGTTCATGACCCAGCAAACTGGGTCAGTGTAGATAAAAACTCTGGAGTGGTCATCACTGTGGAGCCAATTGACTGAGAAGCCCCTCCTGTAAATGACAGTTTTTATACGATCATTGTTCACGCTGTTGATAATGGTGAGTGTTTACCCAAAATTGGAAAAATAAAATGCTCATTTTTGCTTCCTGCAGGAAGATAACCCTCATGAGAGTCTTTCAGCACAGCTGAGAAAAAGATAAAATAAACCTTGTTATCACTCTGCATCCATGCTGGTGATTATTTTTGATAATAATTCTTTAAATGGTAAACGAGGGAGCAATGCTATCGAAAGAGGGCAGCATTCATTCAGAAGAGACAATTAAACCAGCAAGGAAGCTGCAATCAAACCTGACATCTTTTTCATCTGTTCATGAGCTGACTCTTTAGTTCTTTGTCAAAGCCAATGATGTGTGATAAATATGTAGCACAGCTTCACGGTGCTGGGGATGGCACACGAGCTCAGGTAAATGGGACTGTAAGGGACACGTTTGTCATGAACCAGGATGGTGGTTTTATGAGTATGTTTCAGCACTTTACTCTCTCCTAAGGCTGAATCTTTCAGCACACCAAAACAAAGCTGAAGAAATAAAAATGTTCACATAACTTTAAAACTGCATTTAAGCAAGACTGTGAACTAAAACCCAAGCTCCAAGTGATACGTAACTATCCGTTCCACTCTGTAATTAAGTAGCAGAATGTTGGAGGTAGGGGCACTGGAGATATAAAATGTGTTCCTAATCTGTATGAAGGAAGGAGAAAAAGTGGGATCAATGTTTCCTGGCTCCGTGATTCTGCGATGGATGATTTATGATTGGCACTTTTCTTTCTATTTTTTTTTTTTCTTTTTGTATTTCAAAAGCCTTTGGGGTACAAGTGGTTTTTGGTTATGTGGATGAACTGTGCAGTGGTGAGTTCTAGGATTTTGCTGCACTGGCCACCTGAGTAGTGTATGTTGGATCCAATGTGAGGTTTCTTATCCCTTGTGTCCCTTCTCCTTTGCTTCTGAGGCTCCAGAGTTCCTTATATCACGTATGCCTTTGTATATCTATAGCTTAGCTCTCATGTACAAGTAAGAACATAGAGTATTTGGTTCCAGTAGTTAATTGCAGAGTGGAACGTATACTTAAGTATCACTCAGAGCTTGGGTTTTAGTTCACAGACTTTCTTGAGTACAATTCTAAAGTTATGTGAACATTTTTATTTCTTCAGCTTTGCACTGGTGTGTTTAAAGATTCAGCCTTAGGAGAGTGTAGAGAAAAGTGCTGAACATGCTCGTCAAACCGCCCATCCTGGTTCATGACGAATGTGTCCCTTACAGTCCCGTTTACCTGAGCTCGTGTGCCATCCCCAGCACCGGGAAGCTGTGATACATATTCACTTAGAGGAATGGCCTCCACATTGCTGCAAGAAATGTTATTTCGTTCTTTCCTACGGCTGAGTAGTATTCCATAGTGTACGTACGCCATATTTACAGTTGTGAATTGATGATTGCCACTTTTTTCATTAGGAAAAGTACTTTTAGATAATTGTAGATTCCCTTGCAGTTTTAAGAAATAATCTAGTGGGTCCTGAGCATCCTTTGCCAGTTTACCACGGGGCAACACCTTGCAGGACTACAGGTTAACCTCGTAACCAGGACATCATCGCAGAGACGCAGCACATTTCCCTCCCCACGGGGACCCCCATGGTGCCCCTCTTTAGTCATAGCCATTTTCCCCCACCCCACCCATCCTTGATGCCTGGAACCATTGATTGACCTTTTGTTTGTTTGTTTAGTGATGTCACATTCTACCTTGTTCTACAAATGATTTCAGGTGGTCAGTGTTTTATTAGCTTACCTTATCCAGATATTCTGAATGCTCATAAAGGCAGGAAAACAGATCATGTGCATGCCAGAGGAGCTTATGACTTTGAAAGGGAAACACTTCCAGTAGCTCAGGAATATTTTTTTTTTTCTCTGAGAGATAGAAAGTGCTCATTCTCCAGGGCTCTGTGTGCATGAAATAAACAACTCCTCCTGGAACTTCCTCCCCTTACAAGGCCTCCCACCGCAGACTGCTACATATTCATATTCGGGGACCCTAATGCTCTTCCTGTCTGACATCAATGACAATGTCCCGACTCTCCAGCCCCACTCCCGCTACGTGGAGGTCTGTGAGTCTGCCGTGCATGAGCCCCTCCACATTGAGGCAGAGGATCCGGATCTGGAGCCCTTGTCGGACCCATTTACATTTGAACTGGACAACACCTGGGGAAATGCAGACGACACGTGGAAGTTGGGGAAAAATTGGGGTGAGTATTTGTGTTGGTCAGGGGCAAAGAGTAGAAAATGAAAGACATCTATTTCAAAGAGATTTAGGCAAAAAAAGACTTTATTAGCTTAAAAAGCCAGGTAAGTCTGTGTTCTAGCAGAGCTGACTCTAGGTGCTCAAAGGACATCCCTGGAAGCTGCCTTCCCACACGCGGTCTACCTTTCTCTGGGTTCCTTCAGGTCTAGGAAGCTCACTTCATCGAGGGGTAGGAGGCTGCTGGGAGTCCCTGAGACACATCCTTGCACCTGGCAAGAAGGGTGTTTCCAGGGAAGCTCCAGGATTGATGTCACTGTTTGGCCTGGGTCAGCTGCCCTGTCAATCACTGTGGGTGGGACTTGAGAGGGCAGATATGCTGATTGGCTGGCTCCCAGCCCACACCCGGACCTTGTAGGGATCTGGGCTCAGCCTTTCCTGCTTCATACTGAGAATTCAGGAAGTGTGGGCTTCCCCAGAGAAACACTGGGGCGCTGTTACCAGAAGATGAACATGCTGAGCAGGTGAAAAGCAACTGGCATCCACTGTGAACACTCTTCTCTGTGCCTCTATCCGTGGGGTCTGTAGACTGTGGCATGGTTTTAGCTGACACTACGTGCTCATGTTTATAGCTCCCAGATCTGAAGTATGTAGTAAAGCACTTGCCCAAAGAGAGGTGTGATCTTTGTCCATGAGGTCTGTGTGATCTCTAAGCCCTTGGGATATCACGTCTAATACAAGCGTCTCTTTACCTGGGGCATCTTGGGCTGAGCCCGATAGGGTCAATGGGATTTAGATTGGGGACTTCTGGTCACATGGTATCAGTCGACTACCAGAGAGGCTGGAGACTGAGGCCGCTCACTTGGGAGGCCCACCAGGTTGCTGCCAGCATCCCATGTGTGTGTCCCTCATCCATGCTGACCTGGCTTCTCATGGAGAGGATGTTGAGAAGCTCTGCAGTTGGTGCTTTTCTGGACTCTGCCCTAGGTGCCCCTTTCCTTTTCTGATTTTCATCTAGATCTTTTCCCTGTAGAAAATGGTGCCATCACGGTAACGACTTCCAGCGTGTTCTGTGAGTCTTTCTAGAGAATTGTTGAACCTGAGGGTGGTCTTGGGAATCACTGAGCTTGCAGTTGGTGTCAGAAATAAGGGTGCTATTGGGGACCCCTCCCTCCAATTCTGCAGTTGGCTTACTTCCGTACAGAGCTTGGCCTGTACAGGGTCCTTAGTACACATGCATTAAGCAGGTGAACAGATGAGTAAGTCAATGCATGCCGCCTTCTTTTTTCCTTTGCAGATCAGTCAGTTGAACTTTTAATCTTGAGAAACCTGCCACGTGGTAATTACTTGGTGCCACTCTTCATTGGCGACAAACAGGGACTTTCCCAGAAGCAAACTGTCCATGTGAGGATCTGCCCCTGTGCCAGTGGACTCAGGTGTGTGGAGCATGCGGCTGCAGGAGCAGGGCTTCTTGTGGGGGTTCTGTCCCCTACCTGTACAGCATTTGTGGCTCTGGCAGGTCAGTGGTCTGTAGGGGTGTCCTGGGACCGTGGCTCCTTTCCCCAGACAATATGCCAGGGGTATGGAGTTTGCTGGGGTAGGAGACAGCTGGTGGCAGGATTGCTGGAATGGCGCTAAGGATGACTTCTGGGTTTACTCGCCTCCTAGATGCAGATCAGAGGTTGCCATGCTGGCCGGACGAGACCCCTGGTCAGCAAAAGCAGCTTCTACTCGCAATGGAATCCATCAGTAAACATGGTCAAAGAGTGGCCCTTTGTTTGTGATAACCATGGGGACAGTGATGTCCAGATATCCAGGCTCCTGGACTTGGCAAAGCTAAGAAGGCAGTTTTTCCAAGAAACAATACAATATTACTAGGCCAGATAGTATTACTGATTAATTCAACAAACAGTTCTGTAGCATCTACTTGCATCCCCAAACTGTGCTAAACTTTGTGGCTACACAGGTGACTAAGATGCAGTTTGGCCTTGCCAGTTCATGGCTGAGTCACCAATAAACAGAACAGGACCCTCATGAAACCTCTGATATGAGTGAGCTTGTCTAATCTGTTTTCCCCCTTTATCTTATCACAGTGGCTCTGCTTTTCCTGTTGTGAGACTGTTTTGTGCTTGAATCCAAGAGGCGTGGATGCTCAATCTCCAGTGGTGAAGGCCACCAAACACTGGTTGTGTATAACGAGGAGAGCAAAGCCACTTCAGCCCAGGTAGTAGCATGCTTTGTGTCTTATGGCAAGGAATTCAGTAATACACAGACATATAGCACATGTTTTTCACCCATTGTACCACCTCTTAATTCTTCACTCTTATCCATGTTTGAGTAGCAAGTGGGAAAAAATGCCTGCAAAAGCTATCTAACTCAGGTAAATGAATTTATAGTTTTAGATTAGTGGTTCTCAACCGTGAGTAATTTTGCCCAATAGGGATATTTGCCAATGCCTGGAGATGGTTTTGATTGTCACAGTTCGGGTTGCTATTGGCATCTATATGGATTGAGGGCAGAGATGCTGCTAGACATCCTGCAGCACACGAGACAGCCTCTACCACAGAGAATTCTCTGGCCCAGTCTCCAAAGTGCTGAGTTTGAGAAAATTGTGCTCAGGAGAAAAGTGATTTTTATTAGGTAGACATTCCCTAAATGAGATGGTGTTAGGCTCACTAGTTGAATGAGTCTGAGCTGGTTTCTTGGCCATGGCCTTTGGTAGGGCGTGGCAGAACCCACTCTTCTCTCCTTGCCTGGCAGAGGCCAACCAGGAAAGTCTGGGCTCTGTTTCTGCCTTTGCATCTCATTCGCTTCATTGTTTAATCCTACATCCTCCTCTGTGAACTGAGATGATAAAGTCAAATTCACAGATAGGTTGTGGATCAAAGAGGATGCCTATGAAGGCCCCTAACACAAGATCGACCCATATCCACTAATTGGCCAATAGCCACTGGTTTTTCAAATCTGCTGCTTCTGAAATGAGCCCTACCTTATTTTAGTCATCCTTGCAGCAACCCTGGGCTGGGGTTAGACAGACAAAGAGATGAAAGCACTGTGAGCTCTCTTGTTTGTCTTTATCTAGAATTAAGCGGTTGACTTAGGAAATGAACACAAAAGAAATGTCAAAAAGAAGCACACACACAGAGTATTCAGTCACCCCATCTTACATCTCCACCAATGGTTTTTGTCCTGGAAGAGAGAGGTTTATTGAATGAAATGAGACACTTGAGGGAAAAAGATACTCCAATTAACTTTGATATGATGCTCATGTAATTAGAGAGATTTTCTCAAAAATATTAGATTGAAGAAACTGGTGCTCACCCAAGCCTCCCAGGGTTCTTTGCATTTTGTCTTACCTGCAGCAACGCTTAAGCCCCTCTGATAGGTATGTGCCTGCACACCCTCCTGTGAGCACTTCCTGGGTGTGGGTGAGGAAGCAGGAGCAAGGCCCAAACTCTCCAGGTTGTGAAGTCCCCTGGAAGGAATCCCCCATCCCAAATGTGAGAGCAGCAGCCAACTTGATTTGTTTTGTAATTTTAAGAAGAAAACCATCTGGACAAATGGCAGTGTTTGTGTAACAGTAGAATTTCTTACCTTGGACAGTTCCACTGGCTCAGAGGCTCAACTGTGAAGGAAAACAGAAATGGTTCCCAGGCCCTGGGGCTGTGCCTCAACCTCCTTCTAGGCGGGAGGGAGTGAGGGCTGCTGAGCTTGGGGGAGACTGGCAGGAATGTCGCATTCGCTGAGCACTGGTTCAGGTTGTAGCTGAGATGAAAGGGACAGAGGGGATGCCCTGGGTACCCCTCTTGCCCAGCAGCTTTGTGACTGGCTCTTGGAAAAGAGAAAGCTGCTATGGAAGCAGTGTGCGTGGAAAGGAAACTTGGCTCATGCGATGCTAAGACCAGGAGGGTTGGAGGGGATTTAACGGCATGGTGACACTGGTCAAAGACCAGCTATGCCAGAGAGACAAGAGAGCCTCATCCAGGGCAAGGGGCTCTGTTCTCTTCTCTTTCCAACAAATCTTCCTCTTGTTTCCCACTCACAGCCAAAGGCACATCTCCATTCCTGCTTCAGTTTCTTAGGGCTCTGAGAAGTAGGATCCAACAGACCTGGGATCCACAGATTCCAAATCTGTGATTGATCAGTTATATAATCTAACGGATTCTGGCTTTCATATATAAAGTGAGCTTGATAGTCCTCTCTCTTGGGTTTATAGGATACTTTAATCAAATAATACATGTAAAAATGTTGGCACTCACAGGCATGCAATAAAGGGTGGCTGCCAATATTAGCATTATTAGCAGTAATTACTGATTATGTCTTTGTAACCTTGGTAAATAAAACCATCTGTAGGTACACTTACCCTCTATCCATCTTACACAAATATACAAGCCTACACTGCACATCCACTCACCAGGGACATTCTGTGCTCTTGGGAAGACTCCATCTAAGACATCACCACTAGCTGCACACACATTGTCACATTCTGCTGCTAAACTGTAGGGATGCCATCTGATGACCTATTGGACTGCATAGATGCCTTCCCCGCATACCAGGAAGCTAATGAGCCCTTGGCCAACAGAAATCCAGCAGCCATCAACATGAGTCCCTCAGTGAACATATATGTTGGATGATAAACAAATGGGACAATGTACAGAATACCATGCAACAGTGGTGACCCCAAGAGCTGCCACCGCGAGCCCTAGAAAAATATGAGCTTTGAGATTCTGAGGGCTCCTGAAACAAGTCTTTTACCATCAGTTTACATGGAACACTGAACCATGAGAAGCTCAACCTTCCAGCGAGCAATTACAGAAGCCAAACAAAAATAACATTTTTACCCACATAAGTCGTCCAGATTTATAGGATAGGTGTATATTTTACAGTCTGGACTTCTGTGTCGGCATAGATACAATGTGTTTTGGAGAAAAGGCCATACCTTCTGTTTTTATTTCTGCAGTCTGTGGTCTCAGCCCCTGTCGTATTTCTTTCTCTGTGTTCTATAGACATGGTCAGATGTTGAAGGCCAGAGGCCGGCTCTGCTGATCTGCATGGCTGCAGCGGGAGCCACGCAGGGAGCTAAGGTAACATGCCCCTTACTTGCTTCTGTATTTCAAACAGAGAAGTGACTTTCCTGTTTCCCTGACAAAGAACATCTGGGATGCTCCCCTCACTGCCACATCCATGGAGGTCCTTCTGCAAGTCAGCAACCCGGCCCCCACTTGCAAAGCCCCATGGTTCCCTTAGCGTAACACACCCTTGCCTTTCGGTGGCCAAGTTCCTTCATCTTTGCTACGGCATCAGATGACCCAGTGCTTCCAAATATCACTGTGTCCGGTGCCATATGATCATTTTTGCCATACCCACCTGCCACTTGGACTAGCATATTTCTTAAAACACTTTTTTCTTAAAATGGGCTTGTGTCCACATTAAGTACATTTTTTTAAGTAGGAAGTTTTATATTTCAGCCATAAATAAAAACACAGTTTTACTTATATAAAGAGCAGGCAAGTGTGAAAATAGACACAAAAGAATTAGGGCACAATGACTGGGTGGATGATGTCACTGCCGAAGGCCCGGGGCCCCTTTAAAGGAAGGCAGAGCATGGAAGCCAGGCCAGCACCAGAGTGACACTTCCTCCTGGATGTGATTGGGATGTGGAAACAGAATTAGAAAGGGAATAATTTTCTCACCATGCAAATCAGTGTTATTTAAAATTGTTTCCCAAGTAGCTAAATCTTCCCTTCTATAAGTCATAAGTGTCCGCTACTTTGAAAACAGAAGGTTGACCCAGGGCTGCCATAAATGAGCATGTGCCTGGCCAGGGCAGTGAGCAGGGCTGGGTTTGCTGTGCGTTCTGACCACTAATCGGTGCTTCTGGGGGAAGGGTTACCTTTTCTAGTTTTTACAAACTTGCCTCCTGTGCTGGTGAGAGCCTTCTCTCTCCTTCCTCTGAGCCAGTCGTCTTCTAGAGGCCTGGGCATTGCCCTGAGGGACACACTATGCACTTTGCCTGCATCATCTCATTGAATTTTCACCAGAACCCACAGGGGTGTGTGTGTGGTGGGGCAATCTTGCTTCCCTGTTTTACAGGGGAGGAAACCAAGGCCTCCGCCTTCTAGGTTTTGGTGTATCTCTGGGTTCCCATCAATGTCTTCTGAATGTTCCAGTAAGTGCATCTGTGGTGACTGCTTAAGCAAACCTCCATTCACACACTTTCTCTAAGTTAAGCCATCACTTATGATTTATGGGGTAACCCGATATTTTAAAATCTGCTGCATAGCATGAAATATCTTCAATGAGACCACTGTCAACGTCCATTGACTGCTTTATTTTCTTTGAAATTTAACTTCATTATTGAAGGGACATTATTAAAATAATAGAAACCCAAAGCAGAAAATACCCACGGTCCCATCCCACATCTAAACAGTTTCATCTGTGAGTGTCACCTTCTAGACCTCGTCCTCATGTCTGTGCAGTTTTCAGGTGTCTGTGTCGTGGAAAGAACATTAGCGTCTTCACACTCCAGCCTCCTGTGGCCAGGCGGTTCCATTGCACTTCCCTTTAATTCCCTGCCTCTCTTCATTTTCCTTTTCCACTCCCACTTGTCCTCCCTCTCATCGTGTTAATCTGTGTTTGCCTATGAGTATATGAGCAAGGGGAAGGGGTGGAAGCTCACACATGCCCACCTTGTTTCCAGCTGGAGAGAAATGCATTCTGTTTTGAGTAAATAAGCATTTTTTTCCCTAGGATCTCCAGGAAGTGCCTCTGTCTGCACCGAGTAGGCCAGCCCAACCATGCTCTGCTCTGGGAAGTTGGGTGAGTTCCAGAAGGTTGCTCCTTGTGGCGGCCATCTCACTAGTGACTGACAGTTGGTTCCCTTGAGAGAGGGACCTTCTAGAAGATTCTGTGATACTTTCAGAAAAAGGCACATAGTCAATGGAAATCTGAGGAGTTGGGCTTTTCCCACGCAATTTTATTTCCATCTGTAGAAGTAAGTATTAATATTATTGGTGGTGGCTGTTGTTTTTATGGTTGTTGGATGGTCCTGATCAAAGACAACACTTTTTGGAACATCCACAAATAGACACATTTTCTCGTGTCCTTCTAAGGGCACCAGAGATCATCTATAAAGTTAAGAGCACAGGACTTTGACCATGACCAAATTCCAGCCCAGCGACTACATGTTTCCAGCCAAAGGGAGGCCTGACTTCCTCTCTGTGTGGTGTCTTCATATACTCTACATACATATTGCTTTGCTTTGTGAAATGATTTTTTTCCGCAATAATTTTAGACTAAGTAGAAGTTGCAAAAATAGTATGGAGAGTTCTTGGGGGTCCCCAGAGGATATCATCTTATATAACCCTACTCCATGATCAAACCAGAAAATGGACTTTGGCACAACACTGTGAGTACAGATGTCAATTGCAAACCTTATTTGGATCTCACCAGTCTAAGCAGCCATTATTTAACAAAAATTTACTTTTCCAAAATAGAATTAAAAAGAGATATTCAAGGTCTAAAGAGCTATGGAATCACACCCAGTTTTTATGAGGGAAAGCTTCTAAAATAAATTCAAGATCTCTACAATTTCATACTTGTGCACAGACAGCATCTGAGCAAAGATGAAAACATGCTGTTCTTCTTTACACAAAGATGATGCCACAAATCCATCACGGAAGGGCTCCTGCGTTGATGAACTTTGGGTTCCATGTCCATGCAGCTGGCCCCTCTTATCCTGGTCTCAGGGTCTCCTGCTCTAAAGGACCCATAGCACAGGTCTCCTGCTCTAAAGGACCCCTGCTTGGTTGAATGTTCTACTGTCACCATCTTGAAATTCTTAAAAGGGCCTCATGCTTTCATCTTGCACTGAGCCCTGAGAGCTGTGTAGCTGAGCCTGGGTCCTAGGAGTGGATGTGTGTCATTTGTTTGTATTCAGGGCATGGCCATAGCACAATGGAAACCTTGGGTGTTCGTGGACTCAAGATAGAGCTTGCAAATCTAATATCCTCATGTTCCTTCTTCACAAAACAACTGTAAAACTTGTTCATGGATTTCTACTGTGAATACCTACATTCATTAGAATTACTATACCTTTAGTACAAAAATGAAAAGCAATATGACTGCAAGAATTTCTAGTTATGTATTTGCATCCTTTGGTAATTTATTTCAAATCAGTAAATATTTCATCTTTCTTTAATTTAAGGGTTATGGAGAGCTCTTTGAGCCAAGAGGTGTGAAAAACACATATTCTACTCCCGTAAGTACAGATGAAGGTGTTATTGAGGAAAAAATTACCTTATTGTTCTGTCTAAAAGCTGTAGAGAGCCCTGAAAATTGGAAATGTGGAAGGGAAAAGGTGATAAAAACATGTGCCCAACATCCAAACAAACTGAAGGAGAAGTGGATGCGGAAGAGGGCTTGGAAGTAGTTAAGGCACATTTAGCCTGTGACTTGAGGGCATAAGAGCTTTTCGGTCCCTGGCAAATTTCTTTTACTGTTGAGTTGCTAAGACCTCAATCATAGGCTGAGTTTTCTGCTGTGCTTTGTCGCAGACCTATAGACATTTTGAGCTAAGGGGGTCTTAGAGATCATCTAGGCATTATTTTTCTAAATACATTTTGCAGCAGAATTCTTCTTTTCAAATGAGATCGTACAAATAACTTCATTATATATAAAACATCTAAGTACTAATTTTGTATGCATTGATATTTGTAGCACACACCTATTACCAAAATAGCCAATAAAAATAATGATTCTGATGTCAACAAAAGGAAATTGAATATTGTGGATATAGTCTGCAAATTTATGTTAACTTAGCCCCTAATTCCTTGCATTATATTATTATAAGCTGGTTTTTAAAGTATCAAGAAAATTTTGATATACACAAACAAGCAGTTTCAAATATTAATGGTTTTTAAATAGCTCAGTTTACAATATTAGGATTCCTTTGATTAAAGAAAGGTGGGACAAAAAGCTTCATTCGAGTTTCATAAAAGCAAACTAACATGGCATCCCAAATTAACATGTTAGTGTGGGAGACTAAAAAAGATGTAATCCACTTTCTCCTATATTATACAAATAATATTCAATATTATTATTGAATAATTTGTACATAATGAAAATACAATTCAAATACTCTGGCTGAGGTATCTTTGAGGAGTCATAGGCCCTGGGGACAGAGTGAAATCAGTGGCTAAGTCCACAGAAGCCTGGAGAGGAGAGATGGTGCTCTCCCGGCCACAGTGCGGCCATGCGTGGTGTGGGATTAGGACCTGAAGTTGGCTTGAGGCGAAATCACCCCTGAGTCTACCTCGGGAGGGAGCCAGGCTGGAGACAGACATGGCGTCTTCCTCCAGCCCTGGATGAGCCTGGTGCTTGGTCAGTGAGCATCTGGTATGAGGGTACTTTGTACAGAGCCTACATTTGAAGGGTCCTCCTCTGAGAGGTCCCTGGAGCTAAACAGACTGAGGGACAGCACCTCCAGTCAAGTGCTTCCAGCACTGGGAGCCAGGCAGGCAGGGTCCCTAGGGCCGTTTGCAGTGGTCCACACCTTGCCTCTTTGGCTAAGTTCAGTTTACCTTGGTATGATATGGCTTCATTATGTATGTACACGTGTGTGTATGTACAGTCATGTATTGCTTAATGATGGGGATACATTCTGAGAAGTGTGTTATTAGGTGATTTAATCATTGTGTGAACCTCATAAAGTGTTTCACACAAACCAAGATGGTGTAGCCTACTGCACACCTAGACTTCATCGTATAGCCTATTGGTCCCGGGCTACAAACCTGTACAGAATGTGACTGTACTAAATACTGTAGGCAGTTGCAACACGGTGCTATCCGTGTATCTAAACACCTAAACAGAAAAGGTACAGTAAAAATACAGCTTTACAATCTTCTGGGCAAGCCTTATATATGTGGGCTCTCGTGGAAATGTTATGCAGTGCATGACCGACCATATGTACGTATGTGTATATAGGTAGTTTGTATATAAGGTGACCCTTGAACAACAGGAGTTTGGGCTGTGTGGGTGCACTTATATGAGGGTTTTCTTCTGCCTCTGCCACCCCTGAGACAGCAAGGCCACCCCTCTTCTCTCTCCTCCTCTTCATTCTACTCCGAGAGAAGACAACGAGGATGAAGGCCTTTATGATAATCCACTTCTACTTAATGAAGAGTGAATATATTTTCCTTAATGACATTTTCTTTCTTCTAGCTTACTTTATTTTAATATAGTATATAATACATATGACATACAAAATATGCATGAATTGACTGTTTATGTTATTGGAAAAGCTTCCAGTCAATGCTACACTGTTAGTTGAGTTTTGGGAGAATCAAAAGTTATAGGCATGTTTCCAACTGCCAGGGTCAGCATCCCTAACCCCCACATTGTTCAAGGGTCAACTGTATATGTATATGACTATATGTCTATACACATATACATGTAAGTCATATATACATATATTATGCACACATACATGTAAGTGTATATTTCTGTGTATATAAGCATGTACATAGGCATGAGTATTGTATATATGCATGTCTGTATATATAGCCTCATGGATGTACAAAATTGTCATGACATGACAAATCGTATCATGTCACCCTCTAATTTAAAACTTTCTGATGGCTTGTCATTGCACCTGGGATAAAGTCTTCAACCTTATGACCTTAAGGTCCTGTGCAGCCCATGTGGCCTTTGCTTACCTATAGCCTCAACTTGCTGTGAGCCTCCCCCGCCTCCCCAGCCCTCCCACTGCCCCATCTCTTTGGGGTCCAGCCACAGTACACTCCAAGTTCCCTCCCTGCTCAGGGCCTGTGCTGTTTCTTCTGATTGGAATTCCCTTCTGTTCCATGGCCCTACACCCTCCTCCTCCTGAGAACTCCCTGGTCTCAACTGCGTAGGATCCCTTCTGAAATCTTCCCTTGGTGATCAGGCTCACATTTATTGCCACTCTCTGTTGGGTGTTGGCCTTGCCCCAGCGTGGCCCTGACAGTGTGGCCTCAGGCGCTGTCCTTGCTTCCAGGCCAGCCTGACTTACGTGATTTAGTTGTGGGATTGGTGGGCCCCCAGGTAGCCACTCCTCCCTGTAGGCACCAAGCCTGTTTCCTGCCACTGCCCTACATAGCACAGAGACCCAGAGCCACAGACATGGGTAGATGAGCAGATGACTGCCAGCCCAGCATGGAGAACAGTGGGCAAGGCTCAGAGGGAGAGAAGCCAAAATGAGCAAGGAGGGGCAGTGAGTGGGTGCAAGGCACGACTGAGGCTGTCAACAGGACAACCTTGCTGGTGGGTTCCTTCCTCACTAAAGGTGTGTTTCAGCCCAGGCATGGAAGGTCTAGCCACAAGAGCTTGCGGGGTCTCCCTCTCACCCCAACACAGAGAGAGGAAATCTGAGCAAACTGGCCTGAGCCTGGCTCTTTACCTGCAAGAGAACTGCACTGAGTGTGCCCCTCTGTGCTGGGGTCAGTGACACACAGGGGTCGGGACAAGGGCTCCCTGTATTAACCTCTACTCATTTGTTTGCAGGCTTACCCAGATTCCACAGTGCACAGACAGCTCCTGGCACCTGTGGAAGAAGGATGGCTGAGACACTGAGTCAGATATAGAGGGCTCCCCTTGTCCTGTGCACTGGCTGTTAGTCCTGCATCCCTACTGTGCTCCAGGCTTGATTTGGGAACACTTCCTCCTAAATCACTGTGTTAGTCAGCTAAGGCTGCCATAATAAAGTACCATACCCTGCCTCGTGGCTTAAATAACAGACATCTCGTCATGTTTCTGCAGGCTGGAAGTCCGAGGTCAGGCTTCCAGCATGGTTGGGTTCTGGTGACGGCTCTCTCGCTAGCTTGCAGAAGGCCACCTTTCTGCCGTGTCCTCACACGGGATGGAGAGAGAGACCAAGCTCCATGGTGTCTCTTCTTATTAGGGCACTAATCCCACCGTGAGGACTCCACCCTCAGGAGCTCACCTAAACCTAATTGTCTCCCAGAGGCTCCATCTTAAATGCCATCACATTGGGCTTAGAGACTCAACAGGAATCTGGGGAGGGAATACAATTAAGTCCATAGCAATCACGTTCGTGGGGATCCTCCCTCCAGGGATGCATTGTAGAGTCCAACCTAAGACAGAATTGGCACAGGACAGGCAAGCCCCGGAGGCTTCTTGGAAACAAAGAAAGGTGAGGTGGTGTGTTAGACAGAAGTCGTATTGAATGGTACGCTCCTGGCAGGGCAGGGCTGGGCAGTGTACTCAGACTCAGAAATGTATGGGCTGTTGGCAACTGTATTTATACCCATGAAAATCCACTTTCAATCACATGCAAATTAAGGGGCAGGTTGATGCAAACTGAGGGGCTGCATATTTAGAACCTTCTAGGAAAGGCGTGGTAATTTCTGGGTCCTTGCCATGGCATTTGTAAGCTGTCTTGGTGCTGCTGTGAGTGTCTTGAACCAACGAGCAGTGAGGGCAACCAGGGATCACTTTCTTTCATCTCATCTGCTGGTTTCTGCCATTTTTTTGTTCTTTCACTTCATCCCATCTGGACCAGATCCTGTTTTGGTCAGCAGGGCTGTGAGCAGAAAACAAGACCTCTGGGTCTCCTACCTCAGAATGAAGGGTCTTTTTCTACAAATTGTGAAAGATACAGTTTGACTGGCCTGGAGGGGTCTATTGGGTGACTGATTTTAGGTATATCCGGAAAGGTCCCTCAGCACAGCCACTGTGAACTCCTGGCAGGATTAGAAAGCAGCTTGGGAGCTGGGCAAACCCATGGGCATGTTTACCTGGATATGGCACAGCCAGTCCACATGCTCATGTCTTGGAGGCTCTGTATGCCCCCTGCTTGGGGACGGATGCACCAGGAAGCTGCCGGGGCTGTTCTGACTCTCAGTGGCTCCTCCTGTTGCCGGAGGAATAATAAGCACAAAGGAAGACACAAACGTAGACAGGCTCTGTCAGGCTAGATTTGCTTTTACGACAAACACGTGTGTAATACTCTTTGTTCTAGACTCTGTTCTGAGCACTTGAGAGATGTTAACTCTCAGTCTGCACATCTGCCTATTGGGGCAGGTGCTGCCATACACCTTTTTATAACACGAGGAAACCCAGGAACAGAGAAGTTGGGTAATGTGTTCAAGGTCATAGCCATAGAAAGCAGTAGATGTGGGACTCAAATACAGGCAACTGGGCTCCAGGGTCTGGGCACTTGCAGGGGACACATTAAAAAGCAGCAATCCTCAGCACCAACTCTGTGGGTGCTGCTGTCATGGATCTGGGGTGCATAGCTGTGCCTCTGAGTTGAGGTCCTGGGACCCTGTTTTGTGAAACCTGGTGGTGAGCCTGGATGTCCTGTGCTGTGAGTGTCAGAGTGGATGACAGACAGGGCTGTGAACACTGTGGCCTGAGGAAGTGAACCCAGACTGTGTCAGGACACAGAGTCACTGCCTGGGGGGGCTCCCCAGTGTCAGCTTCCTCTGGTTGCTGTGGCAGTTGGCAGATGGGAGCTCCACCTCGGTGCCCCAGTGACAGCCCCAAAGGCACTGCAGGCGTGGCCCCTCCTCGCTCCTGCTCCTTAGCCCTGCAGAATGGGTGCTGCCTGGCAGCTACTTTGAGAGAACACAGACTTCTCCGAGCCTAGAAGCTTCCCTAAAACCAGGCAAGCCAGGCTCCTGCAGAAGCGGGCTGTGGGTCCACAGAATCAGCGCTGCAGAGCACTTCCCCAGGCCCTGACTGCCGGTGAGGAAGATGCAGAATGAGCTGCAGGGAAATTTCCGTGTGTGTCTCCTGAGCCGATTGCAACTTCCCTGAGGGCCAGGCTGTGTCATTACTGGTACATGACATAAGGTCACTGAAGAACCAGTAAAAGAACCATTTTCACTGTAACCTAATGTGCTAGATGAATCAAAAGATGGAGGCTCAGACAAGTAGCTCCAATGTGAAGGCATGAGGGACACAGCCAGAAACGGGGCACAGGCTGGCTGACTACACACGGGCCCACCTCAGCCCTGATCAGGGTCCAGAAAGACCCTTCTCTCTGAGCCTTAATTTCCCATCTACAAAAGAGGGTTGGGGCAGTTCTGCTACACTCTCAGGGGTGATACTCTGTGCAGACGAGATCATGTCACTACGTAAATGTAGCATTTGATGATCATGACATAGCATCTGGTTACCCATTTTCAAATATGTGCACACACATATGCACGTATACCACTCGGGCCAAATGGACCACGTGGACAGGATTGCAGGTCCTGTTCAGCTGAGCAGGAGAGGGATGTGTTCCAGCTGTGGGCCCCTCTTCCCTCTGCGGGGTCGGCAGGCAGCTTGATTGAAGGGAAGCTCACAGCTCTGCTTGGTGGTATGAGAAAGGAGGAAACGCCAGATTAAAGGGCCCAGTTCTTTCCTTGTGAGCCTCTAACTTGGATGGTGGTGTATGATGAATTATTGATCTGATGAGGCTTCCAAAACTGCTGAATCAGGGCGTAGACACCCGCTGCTCTGCCGCCGGCCTGGGGCGTTTGAAGTCGAATCCACCCAGCGCAGCCCCTGCCGCAGATTCTGTTTTGCTCTGCGCACATCAGGTCCGTCGTTCATTATCTATTCAGCTTCACTGCAAGGACGTGAAAGGACTACTAACACCTAGGCCAAACTTGTGAATCTGCTGGTTTTGCGGCAAGAACGTTCTTTCCTCCCTCTGCCCCCAGCACCCCCATGCCATATGGCCCACAGTCCCTGAATAAGCAGACCCTGGGTCAGATGTACAGGTGAGCGTTCCCACGCTTCCAGTGGGCAGCACCAGGCTGACATAGTAGTGGACGGGGGCCGGGAGACAGCGTTTGCCACTAAACAAGGGCCCAGGCAGGGCTCCTGTGAACCAGAGGAAGTTGGAGAAAGCTTGCTGCAGTCACTGGGGCGGGGGGTGTGTCGGGGGGGCGGTGGGAAGGGGCATAGCTAAAAGCTTGGAAGCCCAGTGGTCTGATCAGAATGGGGACGCACAAAGCTGCCCTTTCCAGGCCCTCCCCATCTTCCACCCTGGGCTTGAGCCCCAGGATTCTGACTGTTTTCATGCTCTACATGAGCTCACCCTTTCAGAATCACTATCAGCAGTGACGAATCAGACAGGCTCCCACTAAACCCATTACTGCCAAGGTCTGTGGAACTGGCTCCTGGTTCAGATAGCACCCTCTAGAGGTATTAAAAGGTAAATAAGCTAAAGCTCCCTCCCCTCCTCTCCCCTCCCTTTCCCTCTCCTCCCCCGCTCCCCCCTCCCCTCCCTCATCACTCAGGAAACGTCTCCACAGAGGATAACCCGGGCCCTGGATGCGGAGCTGGAGTTTTCTGGGTGAAGATTAGGCAGAGAAGGACTGTGTAGGGTCCTAGGCAGAGACAAAAGCAGATAAGAAGCTTAAAAAATGTTTCTGGGGTTTGTGCACAGGGTGGACCTGAGGCGGGAGAGGCTGGGGAGAGGAGGAGATGGTGAGAAGAAGGTTGTCGGGAAAAAGGAGGTAGGTTATGGCAACCCCATGGCAGGGTGGCTCAATGTGCAGAGCAGGCGCCTCTGGCTCATGTCACAGATCAGGGTGGGTGTTAAGCTGGAGCCTGTCTAGGGTCTTCCCACCTGTGGCTTTGCAGGAAGGGGTGGCCACGTTTTCTTGGGAGGAGGCTGTGAGGTAGGAGTGGATTGAAGGATTCTCCTGACCCACAGATGTGCTCCTTTCTCCTGAGCACATCTGTGGGTCAGGAGAAAGGAGCCCACAGCAAGAGGCCAGGTAAAGATGAAGAGAGAGGGGACGGTTGTCCAAACGAGGGTCTGGGGGTTAATGGAAGGGGAGGTGTCCAGGGCACAGGACAGGGAAGGGTGAGCCCCGAGGAATGAATCTTCAAGAGGGTGGGAGCAGGTGGTGGGTCTTCCTGAGGGCTCCCGTCATACTGCCTGGGGCGGCCACCACTGTGTCACAGTTCCCTGTCAGACTAGAAGGTGGGATCTCTCCCCTCAGTGTGGCTGCCACCTCTGGGACAGTAGGAACTCCCTGCATCAGTCGAGGATGCAGGGCCTGAGTGCTGTTACTACTGCATTGAGGTGTTCCTTGAAGCATACCTACAGAGATGAGCCAGTTATGGAAGCATGTGGCATTTACCCTCTCTTTCCCCGGCTTTGCCCCGGAAGCTCCACGTTGTGGATGTGCTGGAAGCTACCTACCTCATGTCTACAGTGAGGAAGGGGAGTGTGGAGGGGCCCCGTCCCTCAGCTCTCTGGCCAGCTCGGAACAGGAGCTGCAGCCTGATTTGCTGGACTCTTTGGGTTCAAAAGCGACTAATTCGAGGAAATATATCCAGAGTCAGGCGTTTCTTTCTAAAATAGTGCATATTTTGGAAAATTGAAATAGTTCATGGAGGGGAATCACTATTCCAGGATTTTTCACCTTTGTTCTTCTTTTCCGTCCTTAGAAAAAATTACCTTCCAGTCTTAGGATGAGGACACACTATTAGTTTGAATTAAATGCTTGGATATTCTCAGACCAGCCACCTTGAACCAAAGCAAAACCACAAGTTATGCTTTCTTAAAATTTGATCCGTCATATTTTCTAGAGAAACTTAAATTTAATTGTGTTATTCTTGGCTTCCACTGGCAGCCTAGCTTTGAGGGTAGTTGAAAATATAACCCATAGATTACCCAGTCACTTGGGAATAGCAGGTAATACTGAAGAAAAATAAAAATAGATTTTGAAAATATTATTTACATTTCTATGATTATGATACTCCTTC